AGGAAAGTTTGCCTTTGGCCATGCACAAAAAAACAGCAGGGATTAAAAGCCAAAGAAGATATATCATATCATATCCTTCTTGCTAGAGAAACATTGTGGTAGCTTTCCAGATCCAAATCTCTTTTTTGTTTTGGCAATGCTGCCAGTGGAAGGTTAATATTGTAGCAGTTCCCAGACTCGTCTTAAGCTACTGTACAGTATATGGGATGGCCATTGTCTTCTCCCTTCTCCAAAGGGTAGCACATCTGCTAGGTTTACCCAAAGGGGCTGTTGACTGAAATAAAAGACTGATAATCCTGGGGGTGCTTGGTCATCCACTAGTCCTAGCTTCCCATTTGAGACAATTTATAGTTAATCTCTGAAATTTGGCAATTCATTTCATAATATCTAATTAATTAATGTGAATGCAAAGGGTGAGCATTGAGGAAGCAAGCAATAAAAATTAAACCTCTTTTTTTTTACTGATCTTGGGCACATGTAATAGGATTATATCAAGCCCTTTTAATATTTTATGTCACTAAGAAACATTTTGTGTATATATATATTAGATCATGTGGTATTTATTAATTAGTGCATAGATTATACTTCTTCTTAAAACAAGACGTGTGTTAAGATATTATTGAGGTATTTAACAAAACAATCTAAAACAAGCCTTCAGTTTTAGTCATACAGGCCGAGAAGGGTCCCCATTGTACAAATCTGAAAGTACTGGCCCTTGTGAGGATGAGGGTTAAGTAACAGGTTAGGTTAATGGATCAGTGCAGGGTAAAACCAGTGACTGGCCAACACACTGCTGCACTTGTTTGTCAGTTCTTTGGTGTTGTTGCCATGGCATTAAGAACTGAATGGCCCTGACTGTCTCGGAGTGAAAATACAGGGAGAATGATGTGGATAGTCTTCCTTCAATCGCCCTCTGCTCCCTTTCTTTGTTTGGCTTTTTTCACAATAATTTTCAATTTCTCTCCAAAAGCACATCTATATAACAGCTTTTGCCTAATTTCTTATGGCTTTCTTAATAGTAAATCTTCATTTAGTCTTCCAGAGATTGTTTCCTCCTGCTTCACCATTGGAACCATATACATTAATCCAGTTTTTGAAAGAAAACCGAACAGAAAGACACTTTCATCTTACAGGTGATCACCAAGGTAAAAAGAAAAGGTATTTTCCTAGAGCTGAAAAGCTGTTTGAGAAACTCTCATGTAACAGTGATTTCGTAACATTTCCAGTTCAAACGGTGGAGGCAGTAAACCACAGAAAGATCAAAGGATGACATCACAGAAACACTTTACTCTTCTGTTGTGTTTTTGTTGGGGATCTATTGTTACGGGACTTTATAAAAGCATAGGTAGCTCTTGCTTTGCGTGGGTGTTCCTTTAGAGAAAAAAAAAGATTATATGCCTGTGTCTGGGAGGGGCCTGTCAGCCTGCAATTTTAAAAACAATGGTTTAGCAAGGCCTTTACTGACAGGATTTAACTGACTGTTTCATAACCATGTGGAGGTCTTGGAAGGTGATTTGTACCTGGGTGATCAACTTGTAAATTATGTCTCCAAGGCAAAACCCACACTACGGGAAAAGATAAAGACAGTGAAATGCTTACTATAACTATATGGTATTACTATAACATTGACCTTTTTTTTTGCTTAATTCTGTGCAGAGTACACAACAGTCATAATGATGTCTTCACACAGGAACTTATACTGATTTCTGTAGTGTGAAGCAGATTTACTCTAAAAGTATCAGAAAGGTCACAAAAATGAGGAGCCATTTAATTGATCCAAGGATCTCACCCAGTCATTTCTTACCATAAAATGCCAGGGTGTTACAGACTGTTTTTTTTGTTTTACTTTTCCTGATGTTGACAGTCCCCCAGAATCTCCCAGCAGCGATATGTTGTTATGTTTCCTCCACTCTCCACCATCCTCCTATTTGCTCTCCCTATAGGAGCCCCCCATGTTACTGACACCCCATTCAGCATTTCCCAGTCCACCACAGGGGCCCCCAGCCGCCAACTCCCACTCTGCCCCGCAGGCAAGAGTACAAGCAACTAGTCTGCACCTTGCTCTCCCCCGCTCAGTCTCTCGAGCTCTGGCCTAGACTACAACAGCAATCGGACCTCTCCCATTTACCCCCCTTTTGGCTGGCGTCCACTGGTCAGTACCAGCCATTGAATCGTCCTCCTCCTATGCTTCCAGCTGCATATATAACGGATATTCCTTTCTTTTGGGGGGATTCATTTCGTGATTAGTTCCCATCTGTCTACATTCAACAAGAAGCAGCTCTCTTCTTCATTCTGCATTAGACTGCTTTTCCGGGCCAGCAGATTTTCCGGTTACCAGTGTCCCCAACTGCAAGCACAGAGTTCCATTCTCAAACTAGCTAGCACAGCTACCTGCTAACCAGAAGCTCTCTTCCTGCCTCCCTCCAAGCTCAGCAAGCCACCATGGCAACCAGTACTACCTTACTGATGACATTGTTGTAAGCTACTCATACGGCATAGCTGGAAACCAGAAAACCAAGAAAATAACATCCTGCTCACTTCCACAAATCCGCATGTTGTTCCTATTCCACTGCTGGATCACCAACTTCAGCACAAATAGTTATAGGCTGCTCCTTCTGAGTAGGTACAGAATGTTCCCAGCTACTGAACACCAGCCCAAGATGAAAATCTGGTCTAGCTCCTAGGTGTAGATTCCAGGAACCCCAAGAAGTTTATTTTTCCTGCCAGACATTTTATTTTCCTCTCTGCCGTGTGTCGCATGGTCTTCTCTAGCTACACCATGTACCACTCTACACTTCTGCAATGCGTTCCAGCGCAATTCAGAGCTTCTCAAGCACCCTATCTAAACCCATTTACTCCTACAAGCGCAGCCAGGCATCTAACATGTTCTAACGTTTGACATATGCTCATATTTTTTGGTAAGAAAAACACGAGAACGAAAAACAGCTCTACAAACAAAATACAAACCCCTTTATCTGTTCTTAGTTTGTCTTCTAATGGTAAGAGAAAGCAATCTCCTGAAGGAAGCACCCATACAGGAGCAAAACCTAAGACAGTAAGGCAACATCACATAGCTCGTCTTTAGTGATGAGAAGAAAACAGCTTTTTACAAAAATGAAGATGCAAAAGGTAGCGGCTTAATTACATTATCTACAAAGACAGAATCTGGAAAGATGGAAAGATTTTGAAAGCTTGAACTCACAGAGCAGAATATCAAAATGGGTCAAAAGTGAAAAATGTCTTGCTTACACTGCAGTTAAAAGAATCCAGAAGGGTGGATTTAGCATTAAAAATTGAAAACATCAAGAACAAAGGTCACAACCTCAGTTTAATCACACCTTGAGGTAGTCCTTAAAAAATAAATTTAAACAAAAACAAATCTACATTAACACTGTGCTCTTTGGAAGCTTCCAAAACTTAAGAGGCCTCTGAGGGTTTCCCATTTCCCTGGGGATAAGAGGAGCTAACAATCGGAAGCAGTAGTACACACCATCATGTTTGGAGAGCTCTCTGAACACTGCAGGCAATCGTCAGTGGGGGATTGGAATAAAAATATGCAAATAGCTTCATCTACCACGTTCCACCCTCGTGTCCATTATTTAGACCTTTAAGGCTACAGCCCTGACAAGAAGCAGACAATCCGTAAGAGGTGAAGAGCGTGTTGGCAAGTAAAATATGGAGTGTGATGTAACCTATAGAGAGGGAAGGATCTATTGCTTTGCATATATGGTCCCAGGAGTCTCAAGAAGATAAGTGGATGCACCCACTCCCTCCCAATACCTCAGTGCAATCCAACATCTTTGCTTCAAACACAAGAGAGCCATTCACAAACAGAAACCAAAGGGTCCGAAGAACCCAGCACTGTTCAACTTGGAGGAAGGGTCACTTTGTAGAATGAGTGTGATCTTCTAGGACACCACAGAAAGCATCTCAGTGTAATCCCTGCCAGAGGTACAGTACATACAATTACAATACTGTAACTACAGGGTGTGAATGTCACCCCTTTTGTTTTCTGGCCTTTATGACAAACGACTGGTTGCTCAGTGCATCTTGTTGAGATTACAGTATAACATTTTACAATTTTAAGTAGGACACAAACCTTTGTCATATCACTTTTGTTTCCATTTCATCAGGATATGACTGAATCAAGAGAGCACAGTCTAAAAATATATGCTTAACATTAATGAAATTGCTATTGCTGTACTATTTGGATTCTGAGGGATCAGATCTTCACTTGTGTCCAATTCTGTTCCACAAATTTCTCTTGATGAATCACCACACTAGAATGAGTTGTGGACATGGGGACAAATTAATACCAGACTAATTTAAGATATGAACAATCCTGGTGTACCAGCAGCCCTTAGAAGTAATTTAAGTACAGGCATTACCATTAACATCAAAAACTCCCCCCCAAAAAAGAAACTGCAAATCACCCAGGAATGTACTTGAAGTTAATTCGTTCTCCTGCATAGAACATTTATGCTGGGATTGATCACCTAATTGCAACCACAGGAGAACGATGAATAGCCCCCTTTCATTTGTAATCCTTCTTACATTCTTGTTATATGGACACCCCAGTACTGCTTCAAGCTAAAGTTCCCTGCTCACCCCCACCACCACTTGTTTTGTCCCTCGCCATCAAAGCTTCAGTCCTGGAAGGAACAGGAAAAGAGTTCCTGACAAAACCGTTGCTGTACACATTTATTCTGGGACTCCACCAATGCAGTGTAAGAGGCATTTTCACCATTGATTACACAGAACACTCTTAATCCACCCACAACCCTCAAAAATAAAAACTTTAATAAAATCTTCTTGGTATGAACATCACCAAATCCCACCTCCACTTGACTGCCTTGTTAGTTTTAGACTCTCACCTTTGAGCAGTTAAGTTGCATTGGCATGTATTTGGCTTGAACTTCTGTAAACTCTGCTCCCAATTTCAGGTCCCAAAAAGTCACAGCTCTATCAAACCTCATGTACAAAAGAAACAGGATGACACATTCTATTTTGATCATTTTTATTAATTTAAGTTAGGTAAAGACACTAAACATCAATAAAGAAACATAAAAAATTGCTCCACTCAGGAGCTGTCCTACAAAGAATTTAAAAAAGGCTTATCTTAATGTTCAAAAATGGCATAAAATTAAGAGGTAGAGATTTAGGCTCATATCTGTAAGTGATGGAAATAATTCCTTATTGGTGTTTAGTTCAAATTGTTTCCCAAAAGCATGTCATTTATGAGTTATCCAAACTGGAGATTGTTTATAGTTCCAGTTCAAACATGGATTTTTGGATGCTAACAGTGGTGTAAAGGAAGATAATCAATTCACATTTCTTAAAACGTGAGCTTAGCTATATTTATAGACTAGCTCCATGAACAAAAATAAATTTCTTCATACATAAGCTTGGATAGACTGCAAAAGCAGTATTTCTTTCAACAAATTTTCAGGAAGTCAGTAGTGTACATGGAAATTTTGTTGGGGAAAATAAAGAGGACATCTGCCACTGTACATTTATATAAAATTTCCATTCCTAGAATACAACAATCCAGATCAAAAATAACTCCACTGCATAATGGAAGTGTTCAAGAACACCAGACAGGAAGGAAAAAGAAAAACTGCTGTTTGGTACATTTAAATGCTTTGATAGAAAATGAGAAAACTGTTCTGCAATTGTAGAACATGATTTGGCTCTGGTCCCTTAAATTGCATGACTAACCTTAGGGGTATGCGACAATTACTACCCATCAAAAAGTTTTTTAGGGAGTAAACAATTTTAGTGGTCTTTCATAACTGGAGGCTAGAAAAACAGCTGTAACTGCCAGCTAATGAGCAACAGACAGTCACCCATTATGGTCTTGTATTGACAAACCAGGGACGGGAAAAAAAAAAAAAAACTTAAAATGGGCATCACTTGGATGTTTTGCATTACACAGCATTTTTAAATACTAAAGTTAGTATTTTGTTGTGGCAGGGGTTCAAGAGAATGCATTGTACTCTCACTGAAGAGAGGCAGAAAACTGGACAGGAACACAACACCATACAGCTGTTGTTCATAGCTTGTGAAGAAGCCCATCACATCTGGCTAGGACAAGATAGTTCAGCCCTGTCTCAGGGCTACAGAGTGGTTCAAAAGTATTTGAAAACTGAAGAGAAGGGAACCCCAACATGAGGAACAGGTCCAGGTAGCAGGGGGATAAAAATCAGTAATTACAGTGCATGTCTACAAGATACAAAAGTGACAATTTACCATTTCATACAGTAACATACTGTATATTGCAACAAAGACACTAAAATAATGCTGGTCACTACATTAAGTAAATAGTTAATTATGGAATACCTTTTGTATATTTTTTTAAAAAACTATTCTGTCAACAGCTAATAAGTTTACAGTATATAGACAGCAGGTTTATTTAAACAAACCATGGGGGGGAGGGGAGGGGGAACTTAGTGTAGTACACAGCTTTCTTTGTTCCAGAAGAACAATATATATGGTAAACCTTTGCATCTGTTCAATGCAAGTGCACCAGTCATGATTCAGTCTCTTCGGATGCTCCTTCAGTGGTCTCGCTCCCCCAGCAGGGTGGTGCGCACCCTCTGGTCAGTCCAGGAACTGCACCGTCTAGATTCCATTCTTTGCCTCGTTGTTGTTCATGGCCTCCTTTCTCTGGGCGATGAACGGGTACATGCACTTGTCTGCCCCCAGAAAGCGGTACATGCACACCACTGCCTCGAAGGGCAAAATGCTGCAAGAGAACACAAGCCGTCGGTTTAGTCTTTAACGGAACTCGCGCCGTCCATGCGTTCCAAGCCAAGTCACTCGTGCTTGACTACTTAAACAAGAGAAAAACCTAACAGCGGTATCGACAAAGCACACTGCAACGTACGGTGCAAATAAAACCACAATTACTCATACTTCTAAAGCAAGCAGGGCAGGAAGGACACTCACCTCTTCATGAAGTTGACCATGTACATGAGCCGAGGGGTGCAGACCATAGGCTGGTCAGTGAGAATAGCCCTCATGGCCTGCTTCACGCAGTACTCCGGCTTCAGAGGAGGAAGGAAAGGCTCAATCTCCTTTCTGTTTGTGGGGAAGGAAAGGACATTGGAGTAAAAAAAAAAAAAACACATTGACTATTTGAAACATGTATACCATAACTGAATAAAATGTTCTAGATTCCCTCCCCCCCTCCCACGAAAGAGGGATGAAACATTTAGATCACTAAAAGCCATGCCCAGGCTATACAACCAATTAAAAAAAAAAACAAGGAAAAAAGTTCCCAGCTGCTGAGTTAAGGTAGTTTGATATCCGTTTGGCAGAATGAAGATTGACCAAAGCAGCATCTCCCACCCAAACCCCCTCAAGTTCAGTCATTGCTAAGGAAATCTTAATTACCTAGATTTTAATTCCCAGGTTTAAAGTAGCTTTATTGTATAAAGCCTGGTATAAACCCATTTTTATCAAGGGCTAGTGTACTATAAAATGTAAGGGGACATCAGCAGTGTAGGAAATCTTCATGAACTTCATTTAATTAAAGCTCCACACAACGGTCAATGACTAAATCATTGCCGACAAGGCACATGCAGGATTAGCCTTTAGGACCACAGAAGCGTTCTCACCTGATCCTGCAGCCACGGAACATGCCTGTATCCACCAGATAAGGGCAGACGAGCGTCATCTTAATGCCATCTTTCTCTGCAGCCTTCAGCTCATGGCTGAGCGATTCGTGGAAGCCCACTGCGCCAAACTTACTTGCACAATAATCCTAGACACAAACAGGAAGAGCTAATGAGAAAAAGGCAGCCTTTTAAATGCAGCATTAACGACAACCATTAGTGAGCCTAGGGACAATTTTTCTCTGTTGTGTGCAAAAAAAAAAGGTTACATCCTAAAAGGACTAGCAGGGAGTTCTTCAGTTTCATCAGCTTTATTCTTTTGTATGCTGAAGGTTTGTCTTAGCAGGAACCGTTTGATGTGGTTCAGCATGGAAATAATGTTCAGAGGCTTTGGCAAACACAGATGCATAAACATTAAATGGACAAAGAGATCCGATTGTACCCACATTCTAAAAGTTCCAGTTCAGCTCTAAATTACGGCAAAGACCTGAAACCACTTACAATTAATCTCTGGAAAATATCAATATAATGGGGAGGGGATGAACATGCCAAAGTTTTCTTTGAATTAAGTGTCATGGTTGAATGCCACTTAAACACACAGCTATGAAAAGATCTGTAAACACTGCTAAAGCTTAAAGAAAATGACACTAGCAGGCACCGAGCCACAGGTGAAAGCACCGAGTGAAACTGGACTGCTCTTACACTATAATTATTAATTAAAAAAAAATCAGGAGCTTGCACTTAACTTTAATTACATAATGAATCCAAGCACAAGATGTTGCATAACAAAATGGTTTCAAGAGCTGAAAGGTCTTGCATAGATCAGATGGGAGAGGAATGAGGAAATCTTAACTTATTCATGGCCTAAATACATATGGAGACCATTTAAAATAAAAGAGATGTGTGACTTAAGTTTTCCCAACAAAACCAAAAAGGCTTACAAGCAGTAATTTATTCAATTACTGAAAACACTCCTAATGAAAGGATGAAGAACTATTGTTTACCTACTTAAATGCCTCAGTGGGTCTCTGAGAAAATTAGTATAGAAGTGGGGTTTTACACCAGACACTCACACAAACAGCCTAACCCAGGTCTGTTCTCCAATATACCTCCACAGGTTTTACTTTAGCTTTTACCTTGATTACCTATATTTCCACAGAACACTGTTAAAAAAAAATTCCTTTATTGAAAACTTATTCAAGATCCAAGACGCAAAGATATCCTCTCCGTCGCTACAAGGAGATGTAGGTGTACTAACCTCCACACCAGCTGTGCTGAATAATCCCAGGGAACTGGCCACTGTCACAATGTGTCCATGGTTCAGCTCAAGCATCTTGGGAAGAAATGCCTTGGTGGTCTGCAGCAGGAAAAGAAAGAAAATTACTGAACTGCTGCAACTAAATGGAAAACAATTCGGATCAAAGGTTTCTGGCAACCACTGACAAAACCAATCAAAGCTCATCTCCTCACTGCAATCCTACTACATTAGGAACAGATTACACTGTGGCTAGATAAGCTTTAGAAACCTTTTTATTGGAAAATGAATGGCATTTTCCCCCATAAACCCAATGCTTTAAAAAGCAGAATGGGATTTGCAACTTAAATGTGGAAAGCCCTTCCAGAACTCTGCAACGTGCTTCATTTTAAACCCTGAAGTACCAGGGTTTTTTTTTTAGGAGTCGGGAAGGATATGGAAAAGGTCCACAAAATATTAACATGGAAGCACATACGATGGTGTTAATCAGCAGGGGGGGGGGACTTTTCTAAAGATGAAGCTCCTTTTCCCCACTTCAAACAGAAGCAGATCAGCAAGAGTCATGCGCTGACTAAGCTGCCCCGTATCCAGGCCCAGGGCTGGAAAAGAGCAGCTCTCCCTTCACTCACAACTCAAACCTGTCAAGTCACTCCACAAAGGGGCTGATCTGTGGAAGCCACAAGCCCCTGGCTCCGGGCTTCAAAGAGAAAGTCTCCTGCCAGCCGTGCTTAAGAACCAGAGATGCAATCATGGCTAGCTCTCTGCCCAGCCTTCTGTCTCTATCTTGCCAAGGAAAAAACCCTTTCGGCATAATTTAAAGCGGCAGGAGTAAAGAAATCCCATCCAGTACATTTCCCCGAGGGGAAAGATATGGACGGATTACGTCCACGGAGATTGGGGGGGAGCGGCCAATTCATTCCGAACAGCATACAAGCAGCAACACTTGGCTAGAGCCGCCGGCCATGGGAGAGGAGGAAATCAGATCACCGAGACTGGGAGTTGTTTAAAATAGAAGAAAACCGCTTAGGCTGCAAATCGCTGGAATATTTTACATATGAAATGCACAACTACACCCGCAAACTTTGTGCTCGGCCACAAAACTTGATTAATAGCATGATTTAGTAACGCTATAATGTCTTAAAGCCAGAAATTAATACTCCATGTTGAGAAGGTGATAATACGATTGAGACTTACATCAAGTTCAGTACCTTTTCTACAAGTTTCTTTGTGCAGTGAGCTTCAAGTCAGGGCCGTTAGGATTTATAAATAAGAATTTTCCAGAGGGAGAATACATTTAAATGTAATGTTTACCTGAACAGAAATCCTCAAATCCACAAGCAATCCAATTATTTCTACCTTTTCATACACTGTTAGAACTCACTTTTTTTTTTTAAAAGCAGAAGAGAATCCTGGCAAGTGAAAGTGTAACATCTGTATTCAGAACTACACACTGGGACAGTTTTCCTGGATGAATTTTTGAATATTCTCAAAATGCTGTGATGAGGTCCATTTAAAGGCAATCACCCACTATGTGGTGGAAATTAACATTAGGCAACCAAGTCAGAACACTGGTTAGAAGGTCTATACACTTAAAAAAAAAAACACAACAAAGTAGTGCCAAAAGGGCAGCACTGGACTCAAGGCTCAGAATAAGGCTGAATGTGGTACTGGGAGACCATGCAACACTGCAGGTTTCAAGGCCCAATATTTGAGACTTTCCTGGTTCCATCCAAGCCCCTAACACAAAATGGATCATGGCCTAATAACCGGTTATTTAGCCAATTTGCATTCAGCTCTGCTGCCGATTAAACAAGAGGATCCCTGCAGCACCTAAGGACTCAAGCTACCCACTGCAGTCCACGAATCAAGAGCCCTTCCCCGCGTCGCAGCTCCAAAAACTCGAAACAAGCTAGTCATGGCCAGCATCGCCGTCTCCCTGACAAGAGGAAGGATCTTTAATGACTGACGAGACCTTGGTTTCTTGCAGGGATGTCGGGCCCCGTTCCCAGAGTTCCCGTTTCACCAGAGCTGTAAACCAAACCAGCAAGCCTGATCATTTGTCGACTCGGGCACCCAAAGGACATTTAAAGGTCTTTCACAGTTGACAGCTAAACCATAGGACACTCAGTTCATTAAGAGTTACCTATAAAACACTTTGGAGGCAGGTTAGAGATGCTCCACGTTTCAATTACTGTATTATGTAGGGGGCCCAGGTGGTACAAATGCCAAAAGACAATTCCATGATGCTCTTTGAACGGTGAAGGCCTTAACCCAGCAAGGGCTAAATTTAACTCGAGACCTGCACAACCTAGCCTGGATTAGGTTCTCCTAAATTTACCAGGTGAAGAAATATCACCCCCCAAAAACAATGTGCAGGCACACGTCCCCCACGTGGGTACTGCACTTCGGGGGCTGATAATTTAGGTCGTTTCTTGTATGCCAAGAGCCCTGGGATGAAAGGGACCATACACCTCCCCTCCTTTATTTTCCACAAACCCACATTTCTAAATCACTGCCAGAAGGGTTTTCGGAAAAAAGTCATTAACAGCGAAAAGCAGAATGCTTACAGAAGCCAGTGCCTCTCATGACCTCCCAGACACGAAACGTGTGAAACCAAACAAGAGTTTTTCTTACTTCAGAGCTTTTATAATTGGTTCTCAACGCTTTGCGTTTACGCTAAATTAACTTCCAACAGCGGAGAGCTTCCTTTACCACGCGGTGTGGTTCCAGGCCTGTTGTGCTTCATAATTGAGACAACTCCACTGGAGCTTTTCAGCACAAAGAACCTCACAGCTGCAGTGTCACCCCAAATTAGCGCAAGTATACCCTCAACAGGAACATGCAAAAATACTGCAGTTAAGGGACACCAGATGGTTATACTAATTAGTTGCCTCTCTGTAAACACCGTTTGTCTTGCCAATGCATTTGAAAGTGTATTACAGCTGTTGAACCACTCTGGAGGCCATATGTAAATGTGCTCATTACAGTTTAAAGTTATATTGTGGATCTTCAGTTTTAACACTAACAAGTCTCTCCCCCGATTAGGGTTTCAGGCCTTGAAAGGTTAAGCTGTAGTTTTTATGGACTAGGTTTTCACTCCTGTACAAAGCTCACTTACTGGTAAAACCAAAGGGTTCCTCTCCCATTACCAACCCAGACCTTTGGCAATTATGGTGCAAGTGCATCAAGACTGAGGAGTGTCCTTCCTAAATGCACAGGAGACCAAGACATTACTACCAAACCTCGAGTCTGAAATTCTACATGTATATTGGGTGAATAGAAGGAAAAGCAAAAATTACTGCTCAAGGTCTGCCGAGTGGATTATTCCTATTCCAATTCATTTGTCTTCCTTTGTTCAGACAAGAGAATAATCATAAAGAGACCATTTAAAATCAAACTCCTTTCAGGCAATGGCTGTTCTAGACAGCACAGGAATTAGGTTTCCATTTGATGCCACAAACCTATACAAGTTCTTTTTTATAGCTTATTTAAAAAAAAGGAACTTCAGGTCTCCTGCCATTAGCAGTTCAAGTAGGTTGCTGCGTCAGCATGGGTAGGCTGATGAGGAACAAGTAAAGGTTTATTCCATGGTGAAAAGTATTCCACAGGCAAAATGTTGCATTGCCTTTCTTTTTTTAGCATGGAATAAACCTTTACTTGTTCTTCCATTAGTATTCCTCTCAGAAAAGAATGTTTCTTGGTGCAACTCCTTTCCCACACCTTGATATTAATAGCAAATGAGAAGATGTCAAAGCATGATCCACCCCTTACTTCTGGGGTTAGATTTAAGAACTTAATAAAAAAATATGGATTTTCACATTCATCATGAATACCACCTAAGAACACTAGTGACAGAAATACACCCATACATAAGCCCATTTTCATTTTGACATCTGAAGAACAGGCACTGTAGACCCAGGTCAAGAACAGCATTGTTATTCCCATCATGAACCTTAAAATGTTTATTTTAAATTGCTCCTGCCGCACTAATGAGGCAAAGGTCACAGAAGAGATTTTAAAGGGACAGAATCAATACTCAAGTTAATCCATAAAAAAGCCTGCTCATTAGTAAACTCCTACCAGCTCTGGAGAAGGTTTTCTTCTATGCAAAACCTCACATAAGATAGACTAAGGGCAGTTAACTAGGATCGATAACTTATAGTCCACAGCGTCCAAAAATGCAGTCATCAACACTGCCTTGACAGGTAATTAACACTTCTACAGGAAATGTACCTGTGGCCTGCCCAAGATACTAAAGAGATAAAAAAAAAAGTTGAATTGTTGCACATGGAGAAAGACTTGAACATGCATATTTAAAGAAATCTTTAGCAGAGGAGAATGCAAATCACAGCACAAAACCAGACAAGGAGCTGTTAAATGAGCATGCATGCACGAATGAACCAAGAAGCACATGACTTGCTAAATGCGAGCAGCATCAAAGCCAGTAACGCAAATACAGTTGTGGTTCCATCCTCTCAGTCCAAAAGACCCTTTAAAACCCACAAATGAGACACCTTCTGCATGGCCACCCCCAACCCTGGCTGGGCAGGGGTGCTGCTTGAAGAACTTGGCTCCTGTCGCTTGGCATCTCGTAAAGCCGATCCCAAGACAAGAAACCGATTGTCAAGTAAGTGGGTCAAGCCCCAGCTCCCTGTACACCGGCGCTGTAACAAGACATTGCTGCCTCCGAGGCTCCATTTGGAGGGAGGACAGGGGGCAGGCCTGTCTGCTTCCTGCATGGCTCCTGTTCCCCAGTACTGTGCAGGGAGGTGTCCTGGGGTCCAGCAACTTCGATTGGGGAAAATATTTTGGCTTAAATCCGAGGTGGACACCGAGCACACGGGCCTAAAACTTCCTGAAGCGAAGGAGAAAGAAAACGTCCCCATCAACGGCCTCGAAAGCAAGGCATTCCTGGAGAAAGTGGCTGAAAGGGGGAATGTTCAAGTTTATGGATGACTAAGAAGTTAAACAAAAAAAACTCCACTTCACTCGTTTCGATTAATCATTAACTCGGTGCTGTGCTGGACTGCCTCAACACCAGTTCCATCTACAGCAGCCACAGACTGACCAGCAGCAGGTTCAATAGCCTCACTAAAGAGCCC